AAGGTACAGTCAGAGGCGGGCAATGTGGCAGAGGTGGAGAAAGGCGGTCATGGTCAGGGACCAGATGTGGGGGCGGAAGGACAGCTGGAGGTCGAACCAGACGCCTAGATTGCCCACTGGTCTGAAGGAAATCCCAGGGAGGTTGAGGAGTTTAGATCCACAGGAATGAAGAAGTTGACAGGAGCTAAAGAGTATGGCTTCCGTCTTGTCTACATTCAGCTGCAGGAAGTTTGCACTCATCCAGGCCTTGATGTCTGCCCGACAAGCTGATAGAACATCGGCAGACCTGGAGTTGATGCCGGAGGAGGTAAAGTAGATTTGTGTGTCATTTGTGTACATGTGGAAGTTTACCCCGTGTCTGCGGATGACATCGCCCAGAAGGAGCACATAGATGAGGAAAAGGAGGTCCAAGGATGGAGCCCTAGGGTACCACACAGGTGACCAGGCGGGGGTGGGAGGTGAAACCATTTTGCCGAGATGAAGTGGAGATGGTTGGTTAAGTAGGACATGAACCATGCGAGTGCAGTCCCACTAAGGTGGATGAGGGAGGAGAGGCAGTGGAGGAGGATGGCATGGTTGACTGTGTGCAACATGGCAGAACGATCCAAGAGAATCAGGAGGCAGAGGGAACCCTGGTCACAAATAGAAAGGACGTCGTTTGTGACTTTGACACGTGCTGTTTCTGTGCTGTGGGCAGGGAGAGAAACAGACTGCAGGGGCTTGAGGAGGGAGTTGAGGGAGAGGTGTGACCGACGTTGACCTGCAACAATGCGCCAGAAAAAATTGGTGGAGGGCTTGGAAGAGGGGAGGGTCAAGCGGGAGGAGAGGGAGATATGGAAGTGGTCCGAAATGGCCTTGTCCGTGATGAACAGATCAGAAATGTCAAGGCCATGTGTGATAATAAGGTTGAGGGTGTGGCCACAGTTGTGGATTGGCGAGTTGATGTGGAGGATGAGGTTTAGCGAGAAGAGGAGAGCAGTGAAATCCGAGGAGGTGGTGCAAGAGTAATTACACAAAGAAATAGTTAATAGCGTGAGTTTTCCTTTTATCTAGATAAACATAGTATGAGAAATGTGTGACAAAGTGGTGCAGTACAGATTTATTAACGCTGGTCAACACTGGACTAGATGTTATTCTGAACACTGGGGAGGTGAGGCAGAGTACAGGGGAAGAAGGAAATTGTATTTTTTGTATTTTTCTTTATCATGTCAAAACATCTCAAAGTGCTTTTATATTGGTTAATCTCAAGTGTACATATGTATGCAAACACAGCAGCAAATCCCACAAAACATCATAGGCAAATGACCAATTTATCTGGAGATACTTCACTGACGGGAGGCAAACGAGAGGCTATTACCATAACACTCTTGAGAGCGTGGTTCAAGAAGATATGTGTAACTGCATCTTCTAGTACCTGGTTTAACTGACATCACCAGGGGCTTGAGAACAAAGATTGAGAACATTCGGCCCAACTGGTCTATGCTGGTGATTATGCTCCACATTGAGCCTCCTCCTGCCCTTCCTCAACTAAGCCTCAACCATAACCTTCTATTCCTTTCTCCCTCATGTATCTATCTAGCTTTCCCTTAAATACAGCTATGCTATTTGTCTCAACAACTGTTTGTGGGAGCATGTTCCACATTCCCACTACTCTCTGTGTGAAGAAATTTCTTCTAATTTCCCTATTTGATGTATGCGGATGACACCCAACTCTACCTTTCCTCCTCTACTCTCAACTCCACGACCACCGATGTCCTGACAGCTGCCTGTCCGACATCGAGTCCTGGACGAGAGACAACTTTCTTCAGCTCAACGTGCGAAAAACCGAGGCCCTCCTGATTGGTTTGCGTCAGCGCCTCCGCACCTCAGGCGCTGACACCATCAGCATCCAAGGCTGCACTCTCCACCTCTCAAAGCCGGTCAGGAACCTCGGCGTTTTGTTCGACCCTGAGCTGTCCTTTCTCCCTCACATCCGCACCACAACTGGCACCGCCTTCCATCACCTCCGAAACATCGCCAGACTACGGCATTACCTCACCCCTCACGCTGCTGAAACCCTGGTTCACGCCTTTGTCACCTCAAGGCTGGACTATGGGAACTCTCTCCTCGCCGCCTTCCCGCCACCTCCCTCCACAAGCTGCAGGTCATTCAGAACTCTGCAGCTCGTGTACTGTCCCGCACCAGGCTTCGGGACCACATCACTCCCACCCTCGCTCGCCTCCACTGGCTCCCCATCCCCCAGAGGATTGATTTCAAGATCCTCATCCTCACCTACAAGGCCATTCACGGCCTTGCTCCCTCCTACCTCTCCAACCTACTATCCCCCTACCTACCTGCCCGTACCCTCCGTTCCTCCGGCTCCGGTCTGCTCCACGTCCCCCGCCCCAATCGCCCTACCATCGGTGGTCGGGCCTTCAGCCTCTCAGCCCCGAGGCTCTGGAACTCTATCCCCCAGTGCCTTCGCCGCTTCCTCCCTCTCCTCCTTCAAGGCCGGTCTCAAAACCTTTCTCTTTGACCGAGCCTTCAGCTCCCCTCTCGACTCTCTTCCTCCTCCTCGCTCCCTCCCTTCCCTCCCCTCACCCTGACCATTTCCCCCCCTCTCGCTCCCTTCCCTCCCCTCACCCTGACCATTTCCCCCCTGCTCGGGTCATGACCCAACTGTGCAGCGCCTTGGGACGTCCTCCTGACGTGAAAGGCGCTTTATAAATGGAATCTTGTTGTTGTTGTTGTTGGTTGATCTATTGGTGACTATTTTATATTGATGGCCCCTGGTTTTGGTCTCCCCCACAAGTGGAAACATCTTCCCTATGTCTCCCCTATCAAAACCTTTCATCATTTTAAAGATCTCAATCAGGTCACCCCCTTACCCTCCTCTTTTCAAGAGAAGAGTCCAAGTATGTTCAGCCAATCCTGATAGGTATAACCTCTCAGTTCTTTAACATCTTAAAATGTCCAGTGAAATTTAGACAGATTTAAAGGAATCAGCCTCATAATTGCGCATACATTTGCATTATCCAACAGGCAAGTAATTTTTTTGTTTCACTACAGAATACCAGTAGCTGGTAATTAAGGGCTAATAAGTCTTACAATGACAGCAGTTAGCAAATATTGGAGCAATGTATCCAGTCTTTTTTTCACTGTGTTTTCATGAGTTTACCTGCAGATAAAGAGTAAATGTGCATTTTCATTGTGTAATGCCTGGGGGAATGTACTTTGGTATATTATTATTTGGTATATAATGAATGTGCAAGAGGCTACTGCACTGCACTCCTTTCTCCAACTAAGAGAATGGCACTGAAACCTGCTCCCAAACATACTCAGCGTTCCAAAAATAATAAAATAATCCTTGCATTTGATACATCGCCACATCTCATGATTAAATGTCTCAATTCTTCAAAGGATTTATTTCAAAGTGCAGCAACTATGTATTGATAGGCAAAATTGGATGTTTGTTTTATAGCATCCTTCATGCAGGAAATGTACATCCGACTTTCCAGTACACATGCACAACATTGTTGGTAGTTAAACTTAATTTCTAGCATTAGAAACACAGCAAAAGAGCTGCCTCATATTGCCTTGCCTCTCTTCTGGTATAAAGTGGGTATGGGAGAACCTATAGAGGAGAGATAAGGATGGGTTGAGATTCTTGTGGAGTATGACACTGGCACAGTTCAGTTGGGCCAAAAGGCCTGTGTCAGTGCTGTAGATTCTATGAAATAATTTGCTGATGATCTGTGGAAACTGGGAACTCATGAAAAATTTAACACATAAACTCACTCTGTGGAGAAGGCTTCAGTACACAAATGTGATTGAGCTGCTCCATCCAACACATCTCTTTACCTGCACGACAAAGAACCTTTGGTTCAGCAATTTTTGTGGTTCAGACAGATCAGATTATGAATTGAATTTCTTGGGTTTAATCCCCACTTGTGCCCATCTCACTCCATTCTCATTCTAAATGCCGCTCCTGCTGGGTAGTGAGTGCTTCAATTGTGCTTATACGTAATGATCAAAAGTAAGCACATAGGTTCTGCTTTGTAAAGGACAAGCATTCTGAAATATTTCCTTGCAGCCTTTTCAGAATTTCTAGCTGAATGCTGCAAAATGGATATTAATAGCCATGTGAAATGCTTTCTCCTCTCTAGTTTGCATTCATCTTATTGACTAAATGCACTCAGTATTTGGATTTTCATAGTGCTCAAATCTGAAAAGGCAACATTACTGATATCCAGCTTACAAAGATTTTCAAAAGTTGCAAAATCTAATCCTTTTTAAACTTTTTAAACTTTTAAACTGTGTCATTAACTAGTAAAGTGAGCTGATTTTTTAAATGAAACAGATTTGATTTCTTCCTGGTTTCCAGATTTCCCTAAAATATTATTTTCCTGTGACTTTGGTCAATTTGATTCTATAGCAGTCTTCCACAACTCTTGCTTTGTGCCTGTCTGATTGGAGTTATTTCAGGCAGGGTCCAAAATAGATTGCTGCGAAATAGCCCACCATTCTTAGGTTCAAGTGCTGATTTGCACCTATAAAAGATGATCATGGCTGTTCTACCCCTCCTCACTGATAGAACAGCCAAGATCAGGAACATACAACACAGAAAAGGCAAATGGCAACCCACATCCTACCCTCTGTTAGGAGTATATGGAGTCTAAAATGCATCATTCACAAACTGAAATCACAAGCTGGTGTTTTGCTTTTGGAGTTTCTTTCCAATTTTTCTCAGCCAAGATGAGGCCTGAAACATCTGGCAAACAATTAGGAAACAAAGAGGTGATCCCAAAATGGTCTTTGCCATTGCAATTGTAATTATTCTAGCAAATCCCATAATTCCATTCCTGAAGTGGAATTTGTCATTAGAGTCGTTATTTCCTATTGTGAATGTCCCTAGTTTGTTTTGTTCTGTATTTGGAATGAAGTTAGAAATTGAATAATTTCCTTGAATCTGCCTAATATTGAATAAGCAAATATTTTCAGTATCTAACTTTCTGTTTTAGGCTCAACACATTACAAAAGTTTTTACGTGTACTGCAAGAACTTGTGCAAAGCTATACAACCTGGCAAATTGAGGGTGCGATGCAGCAAGTGTCAGCAGGGGACCTTGACTTTAACCAGGGTAAGATTACGTTGCAGCAATATTTTATTGGTAAATGTGTATCCGCAATTATTATCTGTGGATTTCATATGTTGTTCTCCTCAGGAACTCTTTTTGGTTTTGCTGTTAAGAAATGCTTTGATTAGACACATGAAAGTTGTAACAGGTGATCACTATGCTTCCAAAGTAATACTGTGCAGAATTCCCAAAAGCTGTACTGTGGATTGGTGTTGCATTATTTGTATGCTTATGATCTGCCTCACATTGAATTGCTGATCTCAGGCATACTGCAGGAGGGTGGTAAACAACAGTGAAGCATCCTGAAACATTATAATAAGCTTCCTTAAATTGACAGTTGCCAACAAAGGCTTGAAGGAGGGCAAACTCAGATGTGGGTGGTGCTGAGTGCAGTGGTAAGACAGACAAATACCTTAAAAGGAAGCAGCCTCATCCTTAACAAATTAGTAAAATATTTTGTAACAAGATCTTAACATTATCAGTTTGTGGTACCCAAACTCATTTTTTATCAGTAGTTCATTTTTGACGCAATGCAATATTGTATTCCCAGTATAACATTTAAGATTTGAGGATGTGGGTTCATATCCCACCACTGCCAAAACTCCTAAGTAAGTTTTATATTCATATGTACATTCATATTGGTTTCTCAACATACGTTTGTCTTTGGTGGAAAGCAAACTTCCAGACAATATATTCTAAGATGCTGTAGATTCATCTTATTATTAATTATTAATTATGATTATTATTATTATTCAAAGAGAATTAAATAATGATTTAAAAACCAGAAATATAAAAGGAAATGAGGAAAAGGCAGGAAATGGGACTGAATGGATGGTTCTTCCCAAGACACACGATGGGCTGAATGGCCTCCTTGGGTAATGTACATTTCTACATTTGATTTTCAGCATTACTGAGAAGTCTAAAGTCATGGCAATAAACTAATGCCCCAAAACAAGAACAAACCAAAAAACCAAAAACTAAAGGTGCTAAAAAAGCAGGCAGTAGTGATTGTTATTTCCAACTCCCAAGTGGCACTTCTGTCATTATGCTACTCAATAATGCACCCTGCATCAACCAGTTGGTGCGATATAGGAGACCACGTTTGAAACCAGCAGTGCATTAACTAGGGCAGCAAAAAATTGTTGAATGCTTTTCCTGTGAGATACAACATGTACTTGAAATATTTGTGTACTTTAGTTCTAAGTAATTTGATAACTTATTAATTTTATGTATTTATATCCCTCTTATTGAGATTATAATATTATTTTCTCTTTTAATCATACACAATAAACCTCACTAAGATGATCAGTAAGAAACTTGTTCCAAGGTCTGTCTTTGTCAATCCTTCCGCCTTGCCCCCTCCCTCCCCATCTTCAATTCCTGCCTAAAGACCTTCCTTTTTGATCGTGCTTGCAGTCACCTCCTCCTTCCAATGGCAATGGTGCTGATCCATTGCACCACCCAATCCTCCACAGAAGATGTTTACAATACATATATAACAAAAGGAGTGGGCAAGATAAATGCATCTTTGGAACATGGTGGACATTTTGGGCATTATGCTTTCCAAAAGACAGTGATGCATTGTGATGAGAATGATTCCAGGACTTAATATCGACAGTATGGGGAGAGACTTGTAGAAAGGAACTGGTCATCATGAGAAGATTTAAATATCCCGATAAAAGATAACGTAGGTGTAAGCAGGTTATTTAATTTGAATTGTGAGCGCAAAACTAGAAGACACAATACAGTTTAAAGAGCCTCAAGTGACCCTCGAGATTTGAAAACCTCTCTCCTTTTAAATTAATTATTAGGAGGAATACACTAAAGGCCAAATATTTAATGCTAATTGACTGTTTTTTCAAAAACATTGGTTAAGCTGATACATGTAGATAGAGATGATAGAAACGCAGTGGAACGTGATGGTTCTTGAGTTACTGAGATGATAGAAAGGAACTGGTCATAAATTGTGTAGATCATTGCTATGCAAGGTTAGCTAGGTAATCCAGAGGTTCACTTTATTATCTTTGAAGGATGGGAGAAACTTTGCGAAACCTTCACTCAAGAGATTCAACTGGATAGATCTCATGATGATTGTATACAGATTAGCTCCCAGGCTGAGGAGGAGGTGAATCCCTTGTCATATAAAATAGTTGGAATTCCACAGTACTTGTAAACTGCAATTTTGTAGCTGTTTTCCCCTTATAGGCAAATACTTTGAACAGAAAGTACTCCCTCTAGATTTTACTCTCCTCCAACCAAGATGTTTTGCAGATTTCAAGACAGAATGAAATTCACGTTAATCCAAAAACAAGTAGCTGGTAATTTTACCGAGTACGATAGTATAGATTGTGTAATATATCAGCATGTTCTCTGTGGTCCTCATTAGTGTATTTTCAATGTATTCTCTGACAAGTAAAAAGACTAAGCTTTCTTAAAAAATGTTTCACAGCAAACTTATGTTTTGTTTGGATTTACCAGAGCCTTTAGAAATGATGATTGTATCTCTGTGTGCTGTAGAAAAGGGTTTTAGCTTAAGTGAGTGCTTATTGAATAAAAGAGCTTCACTTTGCACAAGCCTTGGGCACTGATGCATCTCTTGGCCCAAATAACATGCAGTGTAATTTCCTAGTGGTAGAAAAAGCGAAGCATCAGTCATATTCCTTTACTTAAAGGAATAAAAGTTATTTTGGTCTGAATAGGTGAGTAGTACCAGCTTCCTGAGTGACTGTTAAGCAGTGGAAAGTGTCAAGACTGCAGCGGAGTGACAAACTAGCTTTATCTAAAAGCTCGAAAGCCTATCTGTCAAACTGAATAAATGTAGACGCTGATGTACAATGTGGAAGGCTGAGCTGAAAATGACAGAATTTTACCAGAAAGCTCAGAGGATCTTATGTTTGGTGTGTATTTCACTGTCTAGGCTTACTTACTATATGAGCTGGGATTTACTTTTCCTCTTTTTATTCTTGCATGTTTTGTTTTTTCAGAACTAAATTGAGGAAATGATCAGGTAACAGTGCTGGAATCATAGTCCATATTAGCAGTGTCAATGGTGGAATTACTAATATTCCAATGGTACATCCCACAATCTTCCAGTTTTTGTAAATACAGATGACTATTTACTGATATATAATTTCAAACAGAGTAGCCCACCTACTGTGGGCTACTCTGCACTTGGATCCACACTTCAATGCATGGTTAACTAATAATGAACAGACTTGTTATGTCAGAGACACATTAATCCAACTCTCACAATAATATATCTGGAAAGAAGATCTCTTTGGAGAATTGTGCACAGAAGAGACTTTTGATTTTTTAAAACCCATAAACATGTCATTCATGTGAAGCATGACTTGAAACCACGCTGTGATTTAATAGACCATCAGAACATTCCCGAGCTAGTTTAACACCAGATGTTTTATAGCAATTTAATGTACCTGTAGGCACCATTCCTGAAAATATTAGATTTATGTTCCTTCTATATTATTCAAAATGGCCATTTGTTGGCTTCAGGAGGTTTGAATTCTTTGTTTTGTGCTATGAATGCTATAAAAGGAAGGTATTGACAGTACCCTCTTCAACTTTCTGACAAACTCCATATTTAATGTCCTTTCTCCATTTTGTAAACGTTCCTGGGAGAGCTATAAAACTCAATTTTTTATGTGGAAACTAGATAAAAGAGGACCTTTCTGAGAAGCACCTTCATTACATCGAGACTTGACTATGCAAACTCACTGCTTGTTGGCCTCCCCAACTCCTCCCTGCAGATTATCCAGAACTTTGCAGCCCGCGTCCTCTCTCGCACTAGGCTCCGCGACCCTATCACTCCCATCCTCGCCCAACTCCACTGGCTTCCCATCACACAGAGGATACAGTTCAAGATCCTGGTCCTCACCTTCAAAGCCCTCCACAGTCTTGCTCCCCCCTACCTCTCCGACCTCCTAACCCCCTACCATCCTGTTTGCTCCTTCCGCTCAGCGGACTCTGGCCTGCTTCACGTCCCCTGCCTTTCTCACCCCACTATCGGCGGACGGGCCTTCCACCACTCTGTCCCCACCCTCTGGAATTCCATCCCACAAGTCCCTCTGCCTTGCCCGCTCCCTCGCCACCTTCAAGACCCACCTCAAGACCCTCCTCTTCGACCGTGCTTTCGATTTCCCTGCCCTCCACCCTACCCCACCCTAACCTACAGCTTGGGTCCATAACTCTGTCTGTCCAGCGCCTTAGGACGTCCTCCTGACGTGAAAGGCGCGATACAAATGTAATTTTTTTGTTGTTGTTGTTTGTTGTTGGTAGGAATGTGGGCCTCCAGAGGCAGTGGAAAGCAACCAGGCTGAGCCTCAGTGTTAGAGGAATGAGGTTTGAGGAACAAGCTGGAACTCCAACTTTGAAAAGAAATCTCTATCAGAGGGACCTGATCAAAGTTTTAAATTATTAAATGGAACTATAATAATAATAATAAGACAAGACCGAAGCCATACTCTTTGGCTCTCGTCAACGTCTAAAATCTCACGTCTCTCACCTCCTCCACCTACCCGACCTCCCCTAAAACTCTCCGAAACCTACGCAACTTAGGCATCAGGTTCGACCCCCAATTATCCTTCCTCCCCTACATCCGGTCCCTCATCAGCACCGCTTTCTTCCACCTCCGACGCATCACCCGTCTCCGGCAATACCTCACTCCAAAAGCCGCTGCAACCCTGGTCCATGCCTTTGTCACCTCTCTGCTGGACTACTCTAACACCCTCCTCGCCGGTCTCCCATCCACTACCATCCATAAAATCCAAATCATTCAAAACTCTGCCGCTCACATTCTCACCTGCACGAAACTCCGCTCCCCGATCACCCCAGTCCTTGCCAGACTGCACTGGCTGCCTATACCAGAGAGGATCGATTTCAAGATCCTCACCCTCGTATTCAAGTCCCTGCACTCCTCTGCAACCCCCTACCTCTCTGACCTCTCTCCTCAAAACAGTACCCGTTGCCTTCGTTCCTCCGAGTCTGGC